TGCAGTGGTAGTACAGTAGTACAGTAATAGTACAGTAGTAGTACGGTAATACAGTGGTAGCAGAGTAGCAGCGGCTCTTGTTCCTTGGGTTGGGACTCTTCTTGGGCTCTTGTTCTTTGGGCGGGGGCCTCTTCTGGGCCTTTTCTTCCTTGGGCCTCCTTGGTGTCTGTACTATACAGAAGCCTTATGCCTTCGAATGCAGAAAGGGATTTTGGTTTGCTGTTCTGGAGGCCACCGGCAGGCCGCAACACTATTGAGGGGGAGTTTATGATTACGTGCAGACCGAGTTTAGCTCTATTGAGGGGGCTTTCCACTATTGTGCGCAGGGCCGAGTTTAGCTCCATTGAGGGGACCTTTACTAATGATGAAATCACTTTACGCATGCATCTTCAAGCTATTTGCTCCAACCTACGCGTTCACTCCGTAGGACTTGAACATGTGAAGCATTCGCCTCTAACGCAACTGGCGTCTTGGCAGAGGAAGGGAAGGTGTGCGATTCAGGCTTCGGGTTGGTGGCGGAAGCGCTCTATGCTCCACATGAATGTATGTGAGCTACGACCTTGGACGTTACCACGAATGCAAAAGATGCTCCCCAGTCGCTGTAATTCATGTTGGCAAACAAGGCAGAAGTCCAAGGGGCTCGGCTTCGAAGCGTGCCGACTTCACGCGTAGGTTCCCGGTGATCCGCAAGCTGCCTTCCGTCTGAAGAGTCACGAGGCCGTCGCCAAGGAGCAGTGAGGGTTCCCCACTGTTGTCAGGCCCCAGAAGCTCGCAAACAGAGGCAGTTCGTGGCCTCAGCAGCAGGCTTTAGGATTCAGGCTTCGGGTCTTTTGTCCTACCAAGCCCTGGTCCAGCCTGGGACCCGCATGGCAGGGTGTCCAGTCTGAGTGAAAACTTTAGTACCTGCAGATCTCAACTTAACCAAGTGCGGGCGGCTGAATCCGGAAGCACTTGCCCACCGGCAGCTGATGGCCACAAAGGTCATCCCACTGGACCAGTTCGCAATCCTGCGGCCAAGAGGGTGTCGATCAGGATCCGCCCCGGAAATGCATTCACCATCCGGCGAACCCTCGGCATAACAAGGCAAGACCTCTCTCGTAAACCCCAAACATTGCCCGAACAAAATCCAAGACGTCGGCAGACCTTAACGAATCGACCGACCCGACGACACGCCCTTCCTGACACAATTTGTTGATTCTGCCTGTGTCTTCTTTGCTTATGTGATTCCCGACTGGCTATAAGCCCCAAACCGAAACTTTGATATATACTTTAGACTGACACAACCGAGCCTTAGACTTCAACCCCAGGCCTCGGTACTCCACTGCAGACGCCGCCCCGGTATCTCAGAAGCCGGCACTGGACCTGGGATTCGCTTCGGTCGGTTTCAATGCCATTTCCACACCCCGCCCTCCCGACAGTCGCCTGAATATTG